CTGTCTTTCTCTCTGGAGCATATTTCAGAGCACACGAGCGCGCGCGCGCTCGCCCAGTGCGCCCTGAGCGCGCCTTTCTGGAGCGTATTTCAGAGCGCGCGCGAGCATGCCGTCCGTAGCACACGAGCGCGCGCGCTCGCCCTGCTTTCTTTCCTTCTCTCTCTCTCTCTCTCCCTCCCTATTTCTCTTGAAGTTTCTCTTTCTCTGTCTTTCTCTCTGCAGAGCGCGCCCTGAGCGCGCCTTTCTGGAGCATATTTCAGAGCGCACGAGTGCGCCGTCCATAGCCGCACGCGCGCGCTCGCCCTGCTCTCTTTCCTTCTCTCTTTCCTTCTCTCTCTCTCTCTTTCTCTCTCTTTCTCTTCAAGTTTCTCTTTCTCTGTCTTTCTCTTAGGAGAGCGCGCCCTGAGCGCGCCTTTCTGGGGCGTATTTCATAGCACACGAGCGCGCCGCTCGCCCTGCTCTCTTTCCTTGTCTCTCTCTCTCTCACCCTCTCTTTCTCTCTCTCGCTCATTCTCTTTAAGTGTGTCTTTCTCTGTCTTTCTCTCTGCGCAGCGCGCTCTGAGCGCGCCTTTCTGGAGCGTGAGCGCGCCGTCCATAGCATGCGCGCGCGCGCGCTCGCGCTGCTCTGGTTCTTTTTTCTCTCTCTCTCTCTTCTTTAAGTTTCCCTTTCGCTGTCTTTCTCTCTGCCGGGCGCGCCCTAAGCGCGCCTTTCTGGAGCGTATTTCTGCTCTCTTTCCTTCTCTCTCTCTCTCGCTCTCTCTCTCTCTCTGTCTGTCTGTCTTTCTTTCTTTCTGTCTTTCTTTCTTTATTTATTTATGTCTGTCTTTTTGCCTTTCTTTCTTTCTTTCTTTCTGTGTCTCTCTCTCTCTCTGTCTCTCTTGTTTCTGTCTGTCTCTGTCTGTCTTTGTCTGTCTCTGTCTGTCTCTGTCTCTGTCTCTCTCTGTCTCTGTCTGTGGCTGTCTCTGTCTGTCTCTGTCTCTGTCTGTCTCTGTCTCTCTCTCTCTCTCTCTCTGCGAGCCACAGAGCCCAGCCACAAAGCCCACGCAGCCCCGCAGAGTTGACAGCGTTCAGGGGCGCGGCCAAGAGAAGGACAACAGGAGGGCAAGGCCTGGACACAGAGCCCGCCGCGCCAAGAGGAGAAGAGGAGGACAAGAAGAGGACAGGGCCTGGGACAAGAGGAGGACAAGGCCCAGCCACAGAGTCGACAGAGTTCAGGGGCGCGGCCAAGAGGAGGACAAGAGGAGGAGAAGGCCCAGCCACAAGCCCAGCCACAGAGCCCAGCCACAGAGCGGAGCCACAGAGTTGACAGAGTTCAGGGGCGCGGCCGAGGAGGACAAGGCCCAACCACAGAGCCCAGCCACAGAGTTGACAGAGTTCAGGGGCGCGGCCAAGAGGAGGACAAGAGGAGGACAAGGCCCAGCCACAGAGTTGACAGAGTTCAGGGGCGCGGCCAACAGGAGGACAAGAGGAGGACAAGGCCCGGCCACAGAGCCCAGAGTTCAGGGGTGCGGCCAAGAGGAGGACAAGGCCCAGCCACAGAGCCCAGCCACAGAGTTGACAGAGTTCAGGGGTGCGGCCAAGAGGAGGACAAGGCCCAGCCACAGAGTTGACAGAGTTCAGAGGCGCGGCCAAGAGGAGGCCCAGCCACAGAGCTCAGCCACAGAGTTCACGCGCGCGGCCAGTGAGTGTGGCCAGCTCTTTTCTTTCCTGCGAGCCACAGAGCCCAGCCAGCAGCCCCGCAGAGTTGACAGAGTTCAGGGGCGAGGCCAAGAGAAGGACAACAGGAGGGTAAGGCCTGGACACAGAGCCCGCCGTGCCAAGAGGACAAGAGGAGGACAAGAAGAGGACAGGGCCTGGGACAAGAGGAGGACAAGGCCCAGCCGCAGAGCCCAGCCACAGAGTCGACAGAGTTCAGAGGCGCGGCCAAGAGGAGGACAAGAGAAGAAGACGGCGCAGCCACAAGCCCAGCCACAGAGCGGAGCCACAGAGTTGACAGAGTTCAGGGGCGCGGCCAAGAGGAGGACAAGGCCCAACCACAGAGCCCAGCCACAGAGTTGACAGGGTTCAGGGGCGCGGCCAAGAGGAGGACAAGGCCCAGCCACAGAGCCCAGACACAGAGTTGGCCTGGACACAGAGCCCGGCGCGCCAAGAGGACAAGAGGAGGACAAGGCCCAGCCACGGAGCCCAGCCACAGAGTTGACAGAGTTCATGGGCGCGGCCAAGCCACAGAGTTGACAGAGTTCAGACAGAGTTCAGGGGCGCGGCCAACAGGAGGACAAGAGGAGGACAAGGCCCGGCCACAGAGCCCAGCCACAGAGTTGACAGAGTTCAGGGGCGCGGCCAAGAGGAGGACAAGAGCAGGACAAGGCCCAGCCACAGAGCCCAGCCACAGAGCCCAGCCACAGAGCTCAGCCACAGAGTTCAGGGGCGCGGCCAGTGAGTGTGTCCAGCTCTTTTCTTTCTAAGATAGAACCCCAACAGTAAACTGTTTGGGGAAAAACGCTCTTTGTGAGACGCGCAATCGAGCAAAAATGATAAAGCCAGCGTCTTATCAAAAAGGTGGATCAGCTACAGCTGAAACAAAAGAATTTGGGAACCATATTATTGCTGATCGCCTCATTCTTCGAGATTATGATAACGAAGTTGAAAAGGATCTTTTGAAGACAGTACCATCGGTCTACCATGAAGCAAAAGTTAAGAAGACAAGGCTTGAGATTTTCTCGTGAATGTCTGCCTTTGATGACAAGGGGAATTAGCGAAGAAGCTTGTCTTCAAGGTGAGAACCGATTGGATTGGCGAGTTGCGCCACTTGCGTTCCAAGGCCAAGGCACAGAGCTCGTTGAGCCCCAACTTGAATGGTTTTGGAACATCCTTGTGCTGAAGCTTGTGGGCCGCCAAGTTCCGCCAAGTTCATCCAGAGCAATTTGCTCTGCTTCTTCAGCAAAACCGTCCTCCCGCGAAGCGCCTGTTCGGATTCACTCGCCGCGGGTCCGAGCCGACTGCCAGATGGAGGCATGCGGGTTAAACGCTCGTGAGGGTCACCCGGCCGGGCCCGGAGTTTCCCTGCCGCCACACTGGAGCTCCGGGGCGAATTACGGTGCAACCCAGCATTTGCCAACAGGGCCTGGGAAAAATGCGCGACGGCGATGGCGTCGAATTTTCTTAGGGCAATCGGTTGCGCAATGGGCGCATTCTGCAAGACCCACCGCGCGAACGAAAGACCCGTCGGAAGAAGGGCTTGGTGAAACAATGGTGGCCTGCTGCGCCATTTCGGCATACATACACGCAAGGCCTCGCACAGGCACAGTGCTGGTGGCCAGGGTGAAACGTTGAAAATCACTTTGTGAATTGGCTGCGTGGTAATCCGTTCCAAACGGCTCCGGGCTTCCTTGACAGCGTTGGAAAACTCGGGCACATCACGACCAGACGGTGTAAGCGCCAGCAGCTCTAAGCAAATCTGGATCGCTACAAAACATAAAGACGTTGCCGTCGAAGTCGGCACCGCGAATTGCGCAGGCTGACGGCCCAAGCCGGGTACAGTACAGCGAATTTTTGCAAACATGCTTTGCATGTTTCGGGAGGGGGTCGGCCACCCAGACTTCGATGTCCCAGGGCTGGAGCATAGGGTAGCTCCAAGCGGCAATTTTCCCTACCCACTCACAGCCATTAATTACAATGTGGCCACTGTTTGCACAGGGATCCACGAAACAGCCTTTGTCAATTTGCGTGCCTCATGCTTCACAGCTTGAACAACCAGACAACGGCATCTTTGAGGCTAAAAAGAAATCAAATTGCAGCAAGGCCCCTTCAACGTGCCCCATGTGTCTGTCCACGCCCTGGCTGACCCGACAAGCCATTCTTGAAAGGCAGCGAGGGCTTGCGGTTGTGGCCATTGACCATGGCATTGAACCGCCGGCGCCCTCGCATCAGACTGTCTTTCGTGCCTGCAACTCTTGAAAGGAACTTTGATTGCTCAATTCAACTGCAAACTAACATAATTGCCGAACTTGAAGGCTCAAAATCAACCCGTAGCGTCGCAGGATGGAAAATGGTCGTGGCTCCATCTCCTGTTGCAAGAGTGCGGACAGGTCAGTTGGGCTCTCCAAAACCTCCTGCGGCGTTCTTTGATTGAGAAGGCGAACAGAAGGATTAGCGCAGCGTCCGAGCCTCTTGGTAGACCAACTCAATCCGGTCTTGGAGAACGCGCCGTGCGCCCCACGGGTCTTGCGCTGTGGCAGGTGCATCTTGGGGGCGTGGACGTGGCCCAAGGCTTCAGGCCTCTAAAGACAAAAGGAAACTCATGACACGAAACGTGCTGCGTTGTAAAGAAATGCATGGTTTCTATATGGCGATACGGTTTGATACGGTAGCAACCCAGGACTTGCGCCTTGGCCTTGCCGGTGGCTGGCTTGGGAGCTCATGGTTTGAGAACGTTTCGATGAAATATTGATTGGCCTGCCCTACAAGCTTGTAGTGGACTACTCGGGCCGTCGCTTGATTGATCCCTTCCCCTTTTGACCCTTCACAACGTGTCAAGGAAATAGCCGCGCCTTTCGCCCAGCATCAAGCAAACCTTTCAATTTCGCTTCGGCTTGAACTTTCTCCCCTCACATTCGTGTATTCATTGGGGCCGAAATGCGTTCAATCGAAAGCGACGCGTCACAGAGACAAGCTGACAAGCATGTGTGCCAATCCTAATCGGTTGCGCGCAAGCAAATGCGGAGTGTGATGACTGACTTGGATGAACTGGCGCGTGATGCCGGGGGGTCTAGAGGTGAAGAGGCGTCCTACAGGCAAGAAAATGGGCATAAATCAGTGCAACCTTGATGAAGCCAAGCTTTCCGTTGTCCTGACTGATGTCCAGCCCAAGTGGAGGGTTGGACGGGTATGGGCAAATAGTCTTCACGTTGGACGTCCGGGGGCGAAAAGTGCAAGGGTCGAGGGCAGGGTCATCTGAAACACTTCCGAGACCCTTGCCTGCGCCGCGCGCGTGCACAGACACGATTGAAATTGAAATGAAGAGCGTTACAAACACACAAGCACGCCAGGCCTAGCAGCGCTCGCCACCTCAAACATTCTCTGAAAACCCATCAAGACTGGATCCCGTTATAGATGATGACGCCGTTGTTGCCCTCATAGGCGTCCCGGAGCAAGCCCAAAGCCTTTCCACGGAAGCCGCCAAAATAGTGGCAACTTGACATATGATTTAATTCAATCATGTTTCCGAAAGCAAAGCAAAGATGCAAAGACGGCCTCGGCAGCTTCTTGGCCGATCTCAGCATTTCCATCAGTGACATTGTAGCGGCCGTCACGGCCTTTGTAAAAGATGTCATTCTCAACCAAGACTCGGACCTGAAGACAAAACTGGCCCCACACAAGCAGCGACGACGAACGAACCACACGTTTGAATATCTGTGAAGTTTGATTGAAGCGCCTCGTTTGGCAGCTCGATTGTCCGTGATGGGCTCAAGAGGAGGGGCATGCGGGCATAAGCCCTCTGGTGGTAGACAGAATGGCGCAAAACCTCGCCGGAATTGTGAATTGATCGCCTTTTCCTTGCTTACAAGTGGTGATCAAAGCAGCCTCGGTAGCAAATGGGCTCTCGCAAAGCGGCCGGGGTGAATAGACCACCTCGCCGCCCTCGCGCCCCACAATGGCCTGCCGCAGGTGTGCGATTTGCAACGCCAAAGAACGATACAAAAATTGACATCTGACAACACAAGCAGCTGGCTGACGGCGCCCGTTGTGCCTGCGCAATGGAGCCCCCCAACGAATCAGCCCATTTTGTTAAGGTCGCGGGCTTGCAAATCGCAGCGCGCTGGACTCCAAGAACACAGGAATCACAGCCCGATGCCCAGGTGGCAAGAGGAGCCTGAAGCAAGCGAGCAACGCGGGACAGTGAAGGCGCTTTGCGCTCAACGAGTTTGCCCAGCGCCCCTGTCGGTGTCCTTCGACTTGCGCCGCAGACGGTGCTGCCGGACTGTCCATGCAGGTTGGCCGGGTCGACGACAATTTCCGTTTAAGAAAAGCCGCTGCCACCTGCGCAAGGGCACGGCGCTGTCTGCGCGCAACTCCCCAGCAACCTTGGATCAACGCAATCTCACCCCCACAAAACCTCAGCGAGCACCTATCTGATTTTTTCACGCAACACAGCTTGGCCTTGCGCCTGCTCGTCTTCGATCTCACTGTTGGCTGGCGAAATGGGCGAAGATGGCGCCTATACGTGGCAGTGCGCTCCCACTTGCGCAATGAAAGATGCGAGCACATAATAAAGCAACCTGCAATTTCTCGGGCGCAACTCACTATTTCGAATCTCGCCTCGACCGCCGCATCAAAAGGGGACGCGGGCGAAGCCGGTGATTGTGGGCGCTGCCACGGGTGACGTGGGCCCATAACCATGGCCGACCGCAACAGTGACACACGAGGAACCCGAGTCTGGGCCCGTGCGCGCCAAGCCTCATCGTCGTTGAAGAATTCCGGCAGCACTTCCAACTTGGCAGCCTTTTCCTGAGGACTTCGCAAAAATTCTCTTTTGTTGCAATGCTATATAAAGGCAGAACAGACGAGTGGGCCTTGGCCGAATCGTCCATGGGCGGCGCCTTCGCAAATGTGCGCTTGGAAGGTTTCGTTCTCTTGCGGGTCATATCTTCCTTCGAGGCCTGGTCTGCTTCAAATTGATCTCTGATAGCTAGCAACTCTGCGTGATTTTCCTCGTAGAATTAATTCATCGCCTTGCAAAAAGCAAAGGCGCGGCCGAGGATGTCTGTCTTCGAAACACTTGCGCGACAAAGTCTCGGAAAAAGGTCCCGGGGGTTTCCTCTCTACCCAAGTCACACTTGCCCAACGCAATTTTAATTTTGACTTCAGCCAAATCGTTTTGGATTTCTCCGGCCAATGAACGGGGAACCGTCGTCCTTTTCAAAGTCGCCCATAGTTCTTCCGACGTTCCATGCGTGTGTCGCATTTGCAAACACCAAACTTTGCATAGCCCACAGAATGTCCAACAATTTGAAAGGACCGCTGTGGTCCACTTGCAGAACGCTTGCCTCGCAGACACAAACCCGTGCCGAAAGCGAGCGTGCCAAACACGAGATGGCGTGGCCCGGCCTTTTGGCAGATGTCTGGCTGCTCGTAGGGCAGTCTTGAGGGAGGCCACGCGCACCTTCCACCAAGATGCCGCAAACGTATGCCACGTAACAACTAGACGACGGTTGGCCCGAGAGCGAGACATGTAATTGTCCAGCACTGTCGAAAAGATGCATAGAAAGAGAGAAAGAGAGGGTGGATGTGAAGGAGTGACAGTGTGGATGTGCAGGTGCGATATAGATGTAGATGTATACTGTGGATGTGAGCGTGCGAAGATGTAAGTGCACAGAGACGAGAGAAAAGATATGTAGAAGGAAAGAAAGACAGGACAGATGTGAAGGAGCGACAGTGTGGATGTACAGATGTGATATAGATGTGCAGATGTGTGGGTGTGGTGAGGTGGAGAGGTAGATCTGCGGATGTGAGCGTGTGAAGATCTAAACGTAGAGAGGTGAGGGTGTGTAGACGTAGATGCGTCGATGCAATGGCAGCGCAACGTCAACCTTAGTTGTGCAAGTACAACGCTGAAGAACGTACATTTCACACTGAAGTTTCCACAAACAGGGCGACCTGAGAGTAAACGACGTCACGATCATGACAAGCGACCGACATGACTCAGCTGCAGGGGCGCCAGAGCAGCCGCGAGAGATGACTCAGCCGCGAGAGAGGACTCATCCGAGCACTCAAGTTGTACTACAAAGTCGTCAGTTCTCAGCTTCCAGTTCCACCGCTTGCTCCGCGTACTAAAGTTGTTCTACAACGGTCGCCAGTTCTCATCTTCCAGCTCCCCAGATACTCCGCGTACTAAAGTTGCACTAGAAAGTCGTCAGTTCTCAGCTTCCAGCTGCACAGCTTGCTCCGCGCACTAAAGTTGTACTACAAAGTCGCCAGTTCTCATCTTCCAGCTCCCCAGAGACTCCACGTACTAAAGTTGCACTAGACAGTCACCAGTTCTCATCTTCCAGCTCCCCAGATACTCACTACAAAGTCGCCAGTTCTCAGCTTCCAGCTCCACAGATTGCTCCGCGCACTACAGTTGCACCACAAAGTCGCCAGTTCTCAGCTTCCAGCTCCACAGATTGCTCCGCGTACTAAAGTTGTACTACAAAGTCGCCAGCTCTCAATCTTCCAGCTCCCCAGATACTCCGCGTACTAGAGTTGTACTACAACTTCGCCAGTTCTCATCTTCCAGCTCCCCACCTACTCCGCGCACGACAGTTGTACTACAAAGGCGCCAGTTCTCATCTTCCAGCTCCCCAGATACCCCGCGTACTAAAGTTGTACTACAACTTCGCCAGTTCT